AAGTAAAACAACTTCCACATTTTAAGTTCTCGCCTGCATTTAACCCTAAATATGAGGTTCTGAAAACATTAACTGGTCTCCAGTTCTATAAATTACTATTCATTTCCTTGTTTTTTTAACAGTTCTGAAATGGCTGTATTTAACTTTCAATATATCCATTTTGTACACCACACAAATGTGGCATGAGTACCTAATGCAACTCACGAAAATATCATATTTAATTAATCAGAGATGTCACCGGACTAAGTTACAACATTGATAAACTTTACTGGCTGAGTTTTCCAACTAACTCAAACCTTATGCACATTCTCTCCTCCCTGCACACCATCAGCGGTGAGCCTTCACCTATTACTCTCTTAACCTTTGGAACTTCACCCACCCCCCACCTCAATCAGTCTTTAAATGTTGCCAAAAAACTCTTGTCTTGACTGAGGATATTGACATCTCCCACTTCCTTCTCCTTTGCTCAACATCTGACCCAGTCATTGTGGAGCAGTCTGACACATTACCTTATGTGAAGGGCACTTTTGTAGTTGTGTGACTGTTTTGGCAATAGTTTTCAGTCACAGGCTAATGTTTGATGACATGCATCCCTGCTCTAGAAAGGCTAGTAAGATTCTGGAGGCAAATTTAATATGTTTTTTAAAAAAAGCTTGTGTTTTATAGCTGTGGGGAATGGAAAGAGATTTAAGTCAACCCATACCCATGATGACTCTTCACTCATGGCTGAGCCCACCCAATAAGCTAGAATAGTGTTCAACACCACACATTGCTACACTGGACCAATTCCCCCATTCAAGATGTGAAGACAAGAAGCAGAGCAGACAAAATCTCTTTGGAACCAATTTTCTACCTCCCCGAAAAAAAAACATCAAGTGCTTTACTCACAAACCTGCTGTTGAAAATAAAGAGCACCTTGAAGCACCACAAATTACTTCACTGTTTGTTTGTTTGAAACCACATGTCCGTGCCTTGTATATAACCTTAGATTTTTTTCAAAACATTGGCTTTTCTTGTGATACTGGCTCAATTACCCATACCTCTCAAGTGCTCCTCACATTTGTGTACAGGTCAAAACTGTTACCTTTCACGGTGAAATGCACTATACATTTGTTTGATTCACTTCCATCGCACTCTTCCTACCCCAAGCAAAATAAGTTTGTGAACAGATAGAAATCTTATGTGCCCTCAAAACATCAAATCTCCATGGCAGACTTTGAAGCCAAAGACCTCATCAAAAACATTAAACAATTATCAGCGAATTGCTCATTGGGACAGCATTGCTTTAGGGATCAGAAGAGCAAAGCCACATAATAATCCTTTGCATGACATTATCTGCAGCGCCTACAACATATTTCTTCAACTAGTTCAGTTTGGTTCATGTCATATTTGTATACAACGCATTGTATGTTTTGCAACGTTATCTCATCCAACCACTTGCATAAGAAGATTTTCCAATATGACAATATCAATCCAGCTGCTGTTTTCTCACAGCAAAAGATTCACATTTCCTTTAGAAGCTGCAATTTGCATTACCCTCCCTCCCAACCTGCATAACTGCCTTCTGTGTTGGGCGGGACAATGAGATCTTCTCCAAGGACAAGTCAAGAGTATTGTAGTTGTAAACTGTATAGTATGGAAAGTCAACCGTCACTCACTTTTCTGTGCCTAATCCAACAACCATATGACATTTACATAGCATCCTTCAGGACAGGAAGATGTCTCAAAGTACTTCACACATCTGACTGGGGGGAAAAAGGAGCACAAAAGTGCAGTTGAAGAGATTCACCAATTGAATGCAAGATAATGCCTGAGAATAAATTGTGCTTCAAACACGTTGGAAGTCAAAAGCAATAGTTTGCAATTTTAAAAAAAACTAGTAACTAAATAAGTGATCTCCAGACATTTTTTTTAGGAGGTTTGAGCCTCACCTCTGCTACTCTAGAACATGAGGTCTTGTGTGCCTGTTCAGTTGTACATTAAAGATCCCATGGCACTGTTTGAAAAGGAGTTTGTTCCAGTGTCAGGGCTAACAGTCCTCCAAATACCATTATTCACTTCATGGACGATTGGGGAGCATTGCTACACACAAAGGGACTGCTACCTTCTCGTACAAAATATACTGTTACCACAATTTACTACTGTGAAGCACTTTGAAACAATTCCCTGATGTGAAGGGCACTAAATCAAATACAAGGAATATTATTATTATTAGTAGAAGACTATGGAGAGCTTTCGATTCTAGGGAAAATACCTAGTGATCCTAATCCATAAATTGATAAATGCAAATGGATAACTGCAGAATAAACCCTTAGAAGTAGAGATGTCACATTTTTTTGGAAAAAAATAGTAATTATCAAAAATGGAAACAACTTCCATTGCAGAGGGTTAAACATGTCTATTAACCATTTTCTATTAACTATAATTGAATTGTAAGGAAAAAGCAGTGGAGTTACAATACATTATAGATTTAGTAATTGAAGGGAAATATTAAGATAATGAAATTAGTCAAAATTTGAAAACCCCAAGCTCTACAATCGATTTAATAGTAAAGAACTGTATATGTCATTGACAATGCAGGGAATTCCACATAAATCTAGGCCTGAGGAAGCAATCATTATCTAGTTAATCAACATTAACTGTGAGGCTCAAGGGATTTTATGGGCAACACGATATAAAAAGCCTACTCCTAGTCATTTAGATGCATGCTTTTAACAGCTGTGGTTGTGTAGAGATTCCCTGTAGCTGCACCAGATTATGTAGCAAATTATATTTAGATTTGTCTGTGACTGAGTGCAACCTGCTAGTGGTATGGTGTCAACTTTCACCATAGCAGCAGGCTTTGCCTATAATTAACCCAGATTATTATTAGAGCTGAGCAACAGCTGCGTTTCTTTGCTCCAGCATGATCAAAGTTAGACATTTGCTAGCCATGGGAAATTTACGATGACAGGAGACAGTGCAAATAGAATTACTTCTAAGCAGACAGACCTTTTCATTAATGTTAACAGAATGTATAGCGTTGCCAAAAAATACAAATTCTGTAAAATATTCACTTTATACTTGCTGAGGGAAAAATATAAACTACAATAATAGAATTTATTCAACCTTCAAGTTTGAAATATAAAAACATAAGTAACTAATTTTTATTTTGCTTCTTAAATAACTACGTTTCACAACAAAATTTGGAATTGACAGGGGGTAAACCAGGGGGTGATGAGCATCTCACCTTTGGATGAGACACAAAACTGAGATCCCATCTGCCTGTCAAGATGCTAAAGAGAAGGGAGTTTCTCTTTCCTGGGGTCCTGGCCAAAATTCCCCAAATAAAATTGATCACTCAGTGCATGGCTGTTTGTGGGAAATTGCTGTGTACAACTGGCCGCCACGTTTCGTACACAAAATATATAGTGAATCCAATTTACAGGTTATCCTGTGAAGCTCTTTGAGACGTTTCAACGACGTGATCAGGCTCTGCATCAAATGCAATTATTATAATATGATTTTTCACTGGGGAAGCGCATTAGCATCTGGCAAGTTCTAACTGTCACAACAAAGCGTCTCAATGTGCTCCACATGTAATAAGTACTGTACTGTCAAGCGCCGCAACTGTTTCTGCAGGCAAAACACAGCAAAATGCCCTAGCAAGGTCCCACAAATGAGTCGAGGTAAATGACTAATCTGGAGGATTGTTGGCCAGATATCAGAGAAATCTCCTTTTAAATAGGGATTTTTAATGTCCTCCTGAACAGGCAATAATTATACACCACTTTAAAGCATGTACAGGTGTTTCAGTTACCTGGGAATATTATAAAAAGTTGTTACCTTTAAGATATGTACAAATGCTGAAATTGTAATGGTGTTATGTTTTGAAGCTATTACCTTAATTTTTTTTAACATTTGACAGCAAAAAGTACTAGTATTATCAATTAGGGAGTTTTAATGAGATATTGCACATCTTTTTACATTATTTACAGTATAATAACGCCAAAATTCGGTTAATTGAAACAGATAATTGAACAAAACACAAAAGAGTGTTCCCATACTTCTGTTTGTGTTTCAGATAATTGAATAGTTTGGTTTGTTGATTATAAGTTAAAAGCTCTGGGAGAAGTCTTATCTTATGTTTAGTTCAGTTATGTGAATAGTTTGGTTTTTTGAATAATTTTTGCTGTGAACTTGAGTATTCAATTAATTTCACTGTAATTAGCAGAACTCAGGCACAGTAATGAAGTAAACAAGTCAACCACTAAAACAGAGCGCTGAGGAACATGATCTGGACTCACTATTTCCCCATACAACGTAATCTTATTTATGCTGCCTGTGAAGTTCTTCTGAGAATAGGAGACTGAGAGAAAAATGATTGTTACTTGATAGTCTGATACCACAAGCAACACTGAAAAGTAGTTTGAATTCTTCTAAATAATTCACAGGTTACTTGAAATATTACCTGTGCTACATGTTCTAGGATTTACTGAGATTATTCAGTGGACCACTGGGCCTTGCAACTGGAGTTCGACTGCTGAGAAAGCTGAACTTGGTCAAGGCAGCCGTCAGGGAGCTACAATTGGCATTGGCATGTGATTGCTCTCTGGAGACCGTATTGGAGGGGTATGTGTTTGTGAAAGTCAGGCAAGGACAGAATTAGGCTTGGCTCTGATGCCTCCAGTAGTCAACCAGGTCTCACTTAAGTAAAAGGGCCATTCGTCTAAGGTACAGGTGACCAGTACTTATGGAACTGTAACGCAGTGGAATAATGGATAAAGGAATTTGAGTTTACCTTCTAGGTTGGGAAAGAAGTAAAATCGAGCAACATTTTTCCTGCATCAGTCTACGGGCAGATTTTTAAAAATATGATTATTTTTACAATTTCTATTGGACAAATTTATCTCGTCTCTGTGTTAAATCGTTGCTTACGTATGTGTGCTTTTATTATATTTCTTCTCAAGTTTGTCTTTCTAACAAATTTTCAACTGTTTTGAGAGGTTTTCAGTACTTACCATCATCAAGTGTAATATCCTGCAGGCCAATGGTCTGAAAAGGCAGCTCACTGTCCTCTGGTTCCTGTTTAATGTTCAGGGATGCTCTGGATGCTCTCTCCGTGGTTGGAAACGAAGATGGATTACACAAATTGTGATGAGTCAATGGAGGTGGTGCTGACAGACTTCCTAAACTCGTGTTGTGCAGCTGGGGTGAGGACTGTCCCGAATGTGGAGAATGTACCAAAGGATGAGTTGCTGTTGGAGACGGTGATGAAGCTGGACCTGGATGCGGAGAACGGTAGGACATCGGCTGCATTTGTTGACATCCAAGATTGATTTGAAGTGGACTTGCTACATCAGGCCGGAAAGAAATCCGTTCATATCCCTGGTTGGAGGCAGAGTTTATAGGAAGACCAGGCTGTCCATTATACATCATGTTAGATTGCATAGGTTGATAAGAAGGCCTGATAGGTGGAGCTGGTGCTGTTGCGAAGGATTGATGCCCCAAGGAAGGCATGATGGGACATTCTGTACCAGGACTAATGCTTCTGGTTGGTAGGTGTGGCATGTGTGGTATAGATGGAGAAACCATTGGTACATACGTTTGCTGCATTGGAGGACCAAGGTTCCTCTGTGATGTTGTTACCAAATTCTCATGAAGGTGTCCGGTATCTGGGGAAGGCTGCTGGGAGCCTACTTGATGCAGGCCAGAAACACTGGCAGCATGTGTAATGGGCATGGTTAGGATAGGAATGGTGGGCAGATTAATCTCATCAGAACGTTCTCGCTTGATTAAAACTGCACCAAAAGAAAAAGAAATGAAATTATATGCATGTTTGCATATACAACATGTCTAGCTAGATTATGAATCTTTTTCTTAAAATTTGTCATATTAAAACTTAGTCAGTCTTTTCCCATTTTTTCCTTAAAAAATCCAGACAATTCTCCCCTCCAATTTCCTTTAACGGCACCTGGAACAATATATTATCCAGAAGATTGAATATACAATTAAAAAAAATAAAATCGCAAATTATTATTCTACAATGCTTAGAATATGGCAAAACACATATGTCACTGCCACAGTAGTTCTCCTATGCGATTTACACCATAGCGAGTTTCTAATGCACTAGGCAATCAATCAAGCAGAATTTTTTTTTAAAGATTGACTTTTTTTAGAAAGAAAAATTCAAGAACAAGTTGCATATAACCACATTGCAATACAGAGACAGACCATTAGGCATATATATATATATATATATACACACACACATACATACACACACAATATATATTGCCACCTCCCTTAGTCCCATCTCCTACACCCCTCATTCCCATCTTCCTCTTGTATGCATCAAGTTTCCTCTTAAGAATAAGTTAAAGTAAATAATGGTGAGTTAAGGGCAGTATTAACCTTGCTGTTTTATAATGCAATAGTCATTAAATGGATAACAGGATCCAGAGACAGAGAGAAAAAATAAATCCAATATAAAAAAACATTATTTTCTTGGCTTACTTTAAGATCCATACTCTAAAATGACAACGGGGTTTTTCTAATTGAAAACCTCTCATACAATCGAGCAAAACAGTTTGGTTGCTTATTTCAAAATGTTTACATCACACCTCAAGCCTACACCTTTCACACCATTTCCCAATTGCTTTGAGCGTCATACGCCTACACATACATTGTTAGTGACAAACAATTTGCTTCAAGTTTAAACCTCTGCCACTCAGAGCAGAAGGTGGTTTACAGATAACTGATGTCTCAGTACAAGCCACTTCCTGCCAACACCTGTCCAATCATTGGCCTGCTGTACATTTGTTATAATGGAAACAGGAAATCTTCATACCAAGTGGGTTGCATTATGAATACACGAATTTGAGTGAAATCTATTAATTTAATGACTAACTAAACTTCAGTTTAAGCCATAATTTCATAAGCTGTTATAAAAATGACCCTTTCTTGCATTACATATGTGAATGTTTCTGGGATCATTTGTGATGTTTTATTACATTCAGAGAACAGATGGTCGGAAATATAACAAGACCACGATACAACAATTGGGACCGACATCACATTCCATCGAAAACATCCAAATCCTGAAATTATAACTTCTCAGATGACTCAGCAAGTTTATTGTGTGCATGAGTGGGGTTATAAGGAGAAAACAAAACAAAAAAAACTTTGTAAGTTTTGTGTTGTCTCGTCTAAGTTAGCTTTCAACCAAAGCAAAACTACAGCAATTAAGACACAAACTCTAGGATAAACAGAAAATTGGTGTCCGTTTCCCACTTCTTATGAATAGCATGTGTGAATGTTGGAAGAGGAAAGGTTTAGACTACCCTACTCGATTTGTACAAATCTGCTGACAGTCATTAGCTCATAAATGAATAATGGCAGCTTTGGTGAGGCAATGCTTACCCTCCCAATCAAGTTGCAGCAATTATTTTTGGAGTGTTGACATTTTAGGCGGTATATCAAAAACTAGTATTATTATAATTCATATGTATGCAAACCTAGTCACCGACTGTACTGATTTCTAGCAGAAATGACAGTAATGGGTATCCTGACTGCTTTCCCCTCAACACAGGAGCCACTGAAGTCTGTTATTATGTCCTCACTAAGATCAAGAAAATATGACGACTTGATGCAGATAAGTACTTAATTATGATAAATGTAGGCAACATTTAAAAGTTGGATTTGCTTTCTATCCACATACAACCTCTCTAGGACAAAAACTTATTTCGCATTTCGCCCCCGAATTATAGTCAATTCACTTTTACAGTATATTCTGTGAAGCGCTTTGAGGGTCTCAAAGACGTGATAAGGCGCCATATCAAATGCAAGGATTATTATTAAAGATAAAACTGAACTTTTTTTTGAATTAAATATATAGTCAGCAATGCACCTTAGAATGCAAGGAAAGTATTTACCGCTTCGTAAATCGTTTATAGTAATTCAAAACTTACTACAACAACAACTTGCATTTATATAGTGCTCTTCACAAGGGGTAGCGCCCCAGAGCGCTTCACAGTGGCTGTATTAGAAATTAATTTAATATCCCACATCAAAGTTCTGTTTTTGCTGGTATAGCACATTTGTTTTCTATTTTCCATAACAGAATTATTGTTTCACTCCATTAGAATGTTAATTTTCTTTGAGGAACACAGAATAATCAATTAAATAAAATTAGCATTAGAGCTCATCAGTTTCAGCAGTTTTGAACAAAGTTTGATTACATTGCCTATTTTGAAGGAACTTATTTCATCCAACTGGAAAAGTGCTTTGTATACAATTACTGTCGAGTGTAGTGGCAGTATCTGCAGGTAAACTTGATAACCATTAACCCAGTAAGGTCCCAGAAATCGCCTCGAGACAGCGACCAATTCATCTGGAAGACTGTTGGTCAGGACACTAGAATTGCAAGACAATGTGCATGGAGTTTGTAGCTTGTCTTACAAATATGTTTAATTAGAAGACAAATCTCTTGTCATTCACAACTGCCCCCCAAAACAAAATGTAATTTAAGTATACACAAATTTGAGAAAGAACCATCAACATAATTAAGCTTCAAATCCAAACATATTAATATGCTTTAAACATAACTTCGATGCAAGCCCTAGTAATCCTTCTTTTGCTATGAGTAGTTATATTTATAGTATTACTTTATTATTCAGCCAAGGCACATCACTCTCCATTTTAGTTCTGTGACTGCCACGAGCAATAGGCTTCAGATGCATAAGAAGCAAAAGAAGCCCCAGAGTAGCAATAGCAGTTTTACTGCCAGTGCAAAATTCACTACAACTCAAATAAAAAGCTGCCTTATGTAACAGAATCTTATTTGTTTGAATTTCACAATATCCCACACAACTGCTGGCCAGATAAGAAATAGAGATGAACAAAATCATAAGAGATGATTTCTCTTTTGTTTTGATGCAAGTTATCTTTGGATCTCTGACCTTCGTGCATTATATACTAACAATACTCAACCACTTTACAATCAGTTCACTTGTGACTGAAAAAGGTAAACAAAGAAGAGCTGGGATGAGGGAATCCTTGCTTAAATTAAAGGGTTTGTATTACAGGGGATCTCCTGGTATGTGGGGAATGCTTAGGATTAAAAAAATGAAGATGGCTCTACCAGATAGGTAATCTTTCTGTGTTCTACATTCTTCATACATCATTGCAGACTGACACAATTCAACAGTAGTTCAAGAGAAGTGGAGGATAATCCTTTTTGTCTTGGACAAAATGTGCATCGCCAGCACAGACCTGCCAAACTAGTCAGATCCAATATTTTGTGATGGTAACTGGGTTACTCCATGTGGCTGCTTCACAAATACTTTCCACTTGACTTACTTGACAGCCAGCCAACAGATTGCAACAGAATACTTGACTGAGGATTTCCTACCTCAATGAATATATAATTAATAAATAATAAATAGCTAAATAATGAATAAAGATAAATCAACAATAATCATAATAAATCAATGGATAATAAATACATAAATGAATAAAGATGGTTAACAATGAATAATGCACTCCACCATTGATTTTGGCCATTCCCTGCATAATCTTTTCTATCCCCCACAGGTCATATAACAGATTTCTGGCCAAATTTGGGTATGGATTTAGTATGAATCATAAAAGGCCAAAGCACTTCAGGCATCCAATCCACACAGTGGAAATGCCATTCATACTTAAGAGCAAAATGGAGGAAATTACTATTTTCCATTAATTATGAAACAAAAAAGTACGAACAGATTATTACACAAAGTCGGGTAGGGTTGTTTGAGTGCCTGCATCAACATTAATTAAAGCCAGGGCAGTGCTACACAACAGTTACTGAGAGGTACAAACACCAACTTGCAAAGTATCAAATTAAGATTCCAAGGAAAAATGCAGATATATCTTTAACCAGCAACTCACCTGGCTGAATAATGGGCAGGTAAATTCTGACTTACTACAGACAACCTCTTGGCAAACACAAAAGTGCCAAAGATGCTTAAACTGCACAGTGGTGTCTTTCCAGACACAACAACAGTTTCTGAACTACGCCTAGCATGTGAGCCAAAACAAGTCAAACTTTTAGATTAAATGTTTGATATACCAGTGGAATAATTAGTTAATTAATTGAGTCCAAACATTATGAACATGGGTTGCCTTGGGAAGCATCTGTCACCACACAAATGATGGTGGTAATATCTGTAATGGACCTCTTTCAAAGAACATTGTTGTCCAACCACTGTCGAAGACCGTTCACTGAAGGACAATCAATCATCATGCATTAGACCAGTGGATACTAATTTAGAAGCCTTTGACAAAGAAGATCGACCTAGAAAGCAATCATGATGCATCCAGAACTAAATGGGTTTTTACTGAGTTGGACTAACACTACAAAATAATATTTTGCTCACCAGGACAGACCTGTTTGTATCCTCTTCTTGTAGAAGACACACACACACTACCCAGAAGCATCAGGATAATCTAGCAAAAGGAAGATCTTTCCTGATGACCAAAATATAAGGCTTTGCTTGGGCCTCAATTGAGACTTCTCAAAGTAGATACCTCTCCTTGTATCCCAAACCCAGGACCTTAGAGAGTAGCAATAACTATGGAACAGATGTCTGAGCAATCGCATGACAAAAAGGGTTCTGATAATCTAATTTAAACAAAGCCCGCATCTGAAGTTAGGCTTTAAGAAGACATTTGTGACATCCAAAGTCCAGTGGAAAGACTTAAGGGAACAAATTCTATAGTACAGTTCAATCCTGTTATAATATGACTGACCATAGTTGTAGTCAGTTTATAGCATAAATACAATAACAAATTACATTTGTATAGCGCCTTTCACGTCAGGAAGACATATCAAGACGATAGGTTATGGACCTGTAGTATACTAATGCACTTCTTGCTGCCTTAGGACACTGGTCAGTGCCTGAGACAACATCTATGGTGACCTGATAACCCAGAAGTGGAACACGGGCAGCCTTCTATTTTTCAGACTTGACTATTCCTCTACGGGTGAGAAGTTCTGTACAGTAGCTGAGGTCCGTAAGCGCTCCAGGACGTTACCCAGCATGAAGAGCACTATATAAATGCTTGTTATTGTTGTAAACTGCATCTGCTCTCCTTAAATGATTGATCCAGATTTAAATTATATTTGGACAGAACGTTGCTACACATATACAAACTAAACATATTTGACACAATATTCTTGATTTTAATTCAAGCTGCTGAATGTTCTGCTTGTTTAAAATATATGTAAAAGGGTGTTAAAACCATTTTCCATGATAATGAATATCAGCTGCCTAGGTAAATAATTTACTAAAACTCATTTGTCCAATTATTGTTTCCTCGATGGAAGCCGCAACACTACAAGTATCACAGTTGAATAAATTACTACCCAATGTGCTAACACATACATGAAAGATCAGAAACAGTAGTAATGTTAATTTATTGTTGAACTCAATCTCATACATTTCAAATCTTATTTCGGAGTTTATGACTTTCATGGTCTTTGGCACTTCCTAGATATTTTCTGTAACTAGTTTTCTAACCATCTGCAATTATTCAGATATAAACTTTCAGAGAAAAGTATGAAACTGAATGCAGAAAGATTACTGCTTACTATAACATATCAAGTTTTTCACCTTATGCAGCATTAAGATAAGTAACATTCAACTGTTCATATAATTTAAGGGGCAGTTCAGAATTCAATATTGAAAATAATGCATCTTTTGTACATCAGTAAAATAACATATGGAGAAATGACAATGCCACCATGGTTTTTGAAGACCAAACTGTAAACTAACCAAATAAATTATTTACCTGGCATATAAGTGAAACGCTGCGACTGACTCCTCTTTCTCTTGCCATTGCAAACATAAAACTGAACTTGAACTGCAGATGTAACATTTTTATTGTGGTATGGAGGGACCTCAGCCACAAGATTAACCTGGAACAAGACAACTTTTAACAGTGAGCAATTCAAAAAAATTGCTTGAAATTTTAACTAAAGCGGAAGGAAAAAGTAAACTTGGTAAATTAATCAAGAAGAAATCTCAAAGTAGGACTGGTTACAATGTAATTGAGTGAAAACTTCATATGTTTTATATTTGTTCCTTAAATAATGATCTTTTTACAATTAAGTCATTTTAATTAATCTAAGATCTTACAAAGAGGCTGAACACCTGGGTTAATCCCTGATAAATTAAGTCCAACATGGACAAATGGTAATGGCGAACCATTCACTTATATTTTAAAGGTGAAAGGTGCTATATAAATTCACGTTATATAGCACCTTTAATTATTAGAATTTAAGTGAATGCTATTATAAAGTATGGCACCTAATTTGCATCAGCAACATCTGATAAAAGGTGAGATGAGTATCCCATTAATTTAAACTTGGGGTAAATATAAAACAGATTAATCAGAACTATGGCTCCATTTTATTTGGAGTAGCTAAGACGGCGTGCATAATCCATGCGAAAATAGAGCAATGAGTCTAAACTCCAGTGTTTAGAGGGATGAATTATAATGAATGAATAAGTCAACTTTATGAACATTTTAAACGGAGAATAGTAAGAGCTAGAATTAGTAGTCGGGAAGCAACATATGAACAGGAGTAGGTCATTTAGCTCATCGAGTCTGCCCCACCACTTTTAAAGAATGTGGCAGATCCACAACTCAATTCCACCTCCATATTCCTCAAAGCGTTGTTTATCAAGCATATATTTATTTGCCTTTTAAATTCTTCAACTGACTCTGCCTGCACTACCCTCCCAACACCCGCTGCTTCCTCGTCATATCACTTCTAAACAGTTTAGCCTCAAGTTTAACACTATGGCCTCTAATCCTCAGTTATCTCACAGGAGGAAATAGTTACTCACTATTCAGCATGCCAAATTCCTTCATAATTTTATATACCTCAATCAGGAAGATAGATTGTTGAGGCTACTGTGAAAATGGTATTCTGGAAGTACAAAATCAAATGGGGCAAACTACCATGTCCATATGATTTTAAGGTGTATAGCTATGAGCATTTAGTGATTTGGTTGCTGTATCTTTGAAATGGGGAAAACAATTTATAACAGAGCCTATCTATACCGACATGGTGAAAAGATTGTTACTTTTATGGATTTCTGGAAAAACATAACACAATTATCATCGAAATTTGAGAATGATTAAAATCTTACCCCTTGACACTTCTCCCTGTTTATCTTTCCTTCTACCTCCCATTGAGGACGTCCATCTGTTAAACATATTAGAAAAATCTGAGCATTTAGCTGCAAAAAGCTGATGGTGCATTTGCACAATAGATTCTCCTCATTTCCACCTGCTTTTGGAAGCAATTCAAACTGGAATTCAGTTTCATGGATACCAGCAGTCTCTTGTTCAATTGTAATCCAAAACAGCACATGTCAGGGTATTCATGGTGGGAATGAGGAGACATCATAGTCTAATCACCCTGTTTTCACTCAACATCTACATATTCAGGGAGAGCTTTTAAGAAATGGTGAGTTGGTCATTTCCCCCTATCCCCATACCTGGATACTAAAACTTTATAGTGACCTAAAGTTGTCCTAGGTCAGAACAATTTACACTCAGTACCACAGTTATTAATTAAATAAAATTCAAACATTCAAGAAGCAAAAGTTATTAATAAGTTTGACTATTTTGACAACACATCTACATTTGTCATTACGTGAAGCAATCAGCTCTGCCATCTGCTCTTCAAATATGCAGCTGTATTTTTTATATAAATACCCTACTTATTCTCTTTGCGACTTCACAAATTTCAAAACTGTCAAGAATTGCAGCAGCAGTAGATTTTCCTCTCTAGGCAACCTAATCTGAAGTTGTGTGTATTACTACTGTTCCACATCATTTTCACTTTTCAGGTAAATTTGACAAGAACTCATCCTTCCAATTTTTTTGGTTTAATATCGACATCAATCCCGATTGTATTTTTTCCCTCAAATAATTTCAAATCATTTCATCCAGCTCCAGTGAAAGGTTTCTTCTTGTAACTGCATCACCTGTTCTTCACATGCCAATGTCATTTCTTGTTCTTACAATTTTATTCACTTTTTGTCCAGTGCCTGGAATTATAAAGAGTAATACGACACAGGAACAGGTCATTCAGCTCAACTAGTCCAAGTTGGAATTATATTTTTCTTTCAATAAAAATATTTCTACTACACTACAGTTTTAAATGGTCTTACATCAATCATTTTATGATTGGTTAAGTATAAAAAATATAAAGCAAAGTAGAAAAACAGGAAGATTCCAGGCATATTTGCAATGGGATAAGAAATTTGCACTTTCCTGTTAGGAAAAGGAGGGAACTGCAATCCCATTTATGTTGATTTGACCTTTATGATACAGTAATGCAAATTTTGTTTAAATGTGATAAGTATCAACCGTCACCAGATTCAACACCCTCCTATAATTGATGGCTAAACGTCCATAAAACTGTTTCCATGAAAACGTCCTAACAGGCGTTTTCAGGGAAACAGTTTTAGTCTGGCCAAAATGATAATACTTTGGGCCAAATGACAAAAATGACAGGTGGTAAGTTATCATTTATAAATTTAAGGTAACTCACAAATTTTAATTAAAAAAACTTTCCCAAATCCTGATACATTTAGAACTTTGTGATAATGAAACCATTGGCATATTCCAACTTAAGTGTTAAAATAATTGACTGCTAACATTGGTCCACAACATTACATTTTGTTTTAATAAAAATCCAAAAGCTTGAGTTATTAGAATTAACTTTTACAGTAAGCAGCCAAGAGGGATATCTACATGCATTACCTGCAACCACAATTGAAACTGGGATATTAGTAATATTTGTAATAGTTTATTCGTTAGTTTGTTTTACTCCACCAAGTTTTACTTGGTAATATTTAAACATCTGTTTGTGTTAGGCGACTGAATAATTGACTAGCTAATGTGTAGCGGTTCCTACTATGAGCCAATGTGTGGCCCACAGAAATGGAAAATGAATCCATCAGCATATTCTTACAGAGCCCACAGATGAATAGATCCAAAACCAGGGAGTTATTGCATGATTTTGTTTACATAATATTATGAGAAACATGCATTTACAAAATCCTTTTGAATAAATTCAAGATGTGCTTACAACTATGACTGTAGCTAATACTTGATAAGCTATTGTGAAATCAGACTTTTTCGCACACGCCAAAAAATTCCTAGCAGGCCAAGTTAATTTCCCTAACATTTCTGAAAATCGTACAGTGAAATATTTCTACAATTAATACTTGCTGACAAAGGAATACCATTTCTGAAAATTAAAAAAAATTGACAAAAGTGATCTCATAATTTTATTTAATCGAGAAAACAACCACTGTAGGTTAAAATAAATCAAAATGTGTTGAGGTATGTTAAATGTACATAGAGATGTGAAATAAACACCAAGTTTCACTTAAGGTTCATTTAGTCTTTTAAGTAAACAAATCACTGGTATCAATGCACTCTTTTACACTCCCAGCTTAAAGGTTGAGTCTCACCATCAGAGCTCCTTTGAGAAATTCATCTCAAATTCCAGTCTTCACAGGATGGCCAGTTCCTCGTATTTGCATCTTACACACTAAAAGCTTTCCTTTTATCAAAAGACATTGTTTAATCTTCTACCTATTTCCTCACCCACGCATTTATCACATCTAGCCTCGACTACGCCAATTTCCTGCTTGTTGGCCTTCCCAATTCCTCCCTCCACAAGCTGCAGATGATCCAGAACTCTGCAGCTTATGTCCTCTCCTGCACTAGGCTCCATGACCCCATTACACCCACCCTTGCACACTCCATTGGCTCCCCATCCCCCAGAGGATAGAGTTCAAAATCCTCATCCAAGGCCTTGCCCCCACCCTTCCTCTACTGACCCCAATTCAATCTGTACGCTCCCTCCACTCAGCAGGCTCTGGCCTGTACCACGTCCCCCACACGGCCCTCTCCACCACCAGTGGTTGGGCCTTCAGCCTTTCTGCTCACAACCTATGGAACTCCATCCCACATTCCCTTTGCCTCGCACCCTCACTTGCATCCTCCAAGATGCATCTCCAAACCCTCCTCTTCGACTGAGCCTTTGGCAACCCTCCTACCCTCCACCATCCCGACCCCCAGCTCAGGTCCAAATCCCTGATCCTTGGGACGTCCTTCTGACATGAAAGGCACTAAATAAATGTAATTTCGTATCACATCAGATTTAATCTAACCTCCATCATTCTTATTAAACTTGCAATTCCACAGTCTGGAAGGATTAGTACTTTTTTTTAAAAAAAACACTCTTTCCTGAAGATGGTAATTTATTGCGAATGTACAGACCTAAAAGCAGTAGTTTTGTGGTACCTCACCTATGTGATCATTAGTCACCCGTGATCAGTGTCAGTGGTCTGTTAACCTTTGATCACGATTACTAATCAAGTTTATTCCTGTGCTAACACCCAATTTCCATTCATATGCGCCATTAGCTGCAGTCAATGAATAACAATCAGGTATTCTTACCTTACACATGCTGAGGCTAACTGTCATATTCGCTAACTAATCAAAGACCAAAATTCCTGGGTCAACGCAATCGGTATGATTCAAAGATGCACCAATTGCAATTGTTCACTTAACCATTGGAAAAAAATTCTCTTAAAAATTACATTTCTCAATTTTTTTGGGAATAATTGCTTAAAGAATGAGTCATAATTACATTAGAGAAATTGCCACATGAGAATTTGCTGAGCCCAGCAGAGATAAACTCGCAAACAAGGCAAGATCACTGAACCACAAGTTAATTACTTATCTACTTAAAAGTAATGCACGTTAAGTTACTGAACATCTGACTCAGAAACTGCTCTCTGCCACCTTCCTCGAATATCACCTGTACTCCCTCAATAATAATCCCTCAAGAAAAAAAACATTTGGTCATTCAACTGTTTGTGGGATACTGCTGTGTGCAATTAGCTGCCGCGTTTCACCCACAAAATATAGTCAATTCACTTTAATGTATATTCTGTGAAGCGTTTTGAGACGTCTAGAAGACGTGAAAAGCACTATATCAAATCCAAGGATTATTATTATTACTAACCAATTAAAACAAAATATTCAATAAAAACAGCAACTTAAGAGAACAGAAAATACAAAACATATATTAATATAGTACCCTTCACACATATCTCAGTGGAATGCACCGTATAATTACGATACTTTAAAGTAAGATTTGTTAAAACCTAAACTGACAGTGACATTTCCTATCGGGAACCAAGCTTTCAAAGTAGCAATGCACACTTAGATAACCAGCAGCTCATGATTTTTTAAACTTTTTTTTAAACAAAATCAAATATCTAGTAAACTACCCTTCTAACAAAATACACCATGCAGCCAGAAACTGCAAAATCATTTCAAAACCCACCATTTACTAAGCCCTGCATTGTAGCATTCTTGTTGTGAAACACCAATGTACTGCCCATTTGCTTCTCATTATCAAAATGCTTTTGCAACTGCAAAATCTATCTATAGCTATCCGAAAAGTGCAACAATATATGGAATTCGTAACTACAAAGTCTCATAGTCAGTCACGTGGGGCAATAAATGGCTTTTTCCATTAATTCAAGATTAAGGTAGACACTGGCTGTTAATTCTTATCCTGAGAAATGTCAACCGTTATTGAATCTCTGTGATATATTTCACTGGCAGACACTGGACTTGGGACAGTCTGGAATCTGACACCTACAAAGGCAGTGTCCCAAGCTATTGCTATTGGGATTTTTCCAGGTTCACTAAGAGGCCCTGCTAAACAAAGGTTCTTCCATTGGAAGTCAGTTTCTTTAGTTCCTTTTAAACGAGTGCTCTCAAACTAACTGACGATATAGTAAAATCTAGTTGCGTATTTAGCTATACATTTTCCAATCCTTTCAGTAGAGGGGGAAATGTTAGTCAGGTATTTGGTAAAGACCATGAGTGGCACTGCTAGTCGATTCTAAATGTCTAGATGGAATTTCAGTTTCTCTTAGACAACTAAGTGAAATTAGGAATCACTTCTTGAACTTACCTTCACATCCTTGTACAGCAATACTACCTCTATTAGCCTGGGAATACAACAAGATTTCCACGTTGCCCTTGAAGTTTCAAATAAGGCTGATTACAACAAGGACAATGTTGTTCTCCCAATGGGTTAGTGGGTACAGGCTATGTGAGAACCAGGCAATAAAGATCAGAAAAGTGCAGGCTTGAATCCCAGTCTATCCTTTTAGCTAATCTTAGTTGCAACTTTACAATTGAGCTTGGAGTGTTGAGTGAGGGGCGGGGGAAAGAGGGGAAAGTCAGCCAAGGTTCCTGTTCCTGACTGCATTCCAGGGCTCTCTGACTGCAAGGCGTGCATGGTTGTTGGGACAACTACAAGTGAATTAGAAAACAAAAACAGAAGTCGCTGGGAACACTCAGCAGGTCAGACAGCATCTATGCAGAAAGGAAAGTTAGTCAACGTTTCGGGTCCGAGACCCTTCGTCAGAACTGGGGCATGCTGGGAGGGAGATGCTTTTAAGGGCTAACAGAGATGGGGGAGGTAGGGCAAGGAAGACAAAGGAGAAAATGGAGTAGAGGATAGGGGATATGGGTTAAAGAGGTGTTAATGATGCAAAACAAAGGGCAGGTTGCAACAAAGCAGTGGAATAGAGGTGTTAACACGGCAGAACAAAGGGGGACGAGATTGCAACAAAATAGGTAGACCAGAGAGAGAAAAGATGTGTCTGGGTCCAAGATGATGTGGTAATGGTCACAGAAGGGGAGGGGGAATGTGAGCTGTTATGGTCTGAAATTGTTGAAATCAATATTGAGGCCAGAGGCTGTAAGGTCTCTAGCAGATAAATGAGTGAATTGGTGAATTTTTCCAGCTCATTGCGAGAGCAGGAAGCAGCCCCAACACAGTCGTCGATGTACCTGAGGAACAGGTCAGGGAGTGTTCCAGGTGGCCAACAAACTGGCAGGCATAGCTGGGACCCATGTGAGTTCCCATAGCGACACCTTTTAATTTTTAGTTTCTTTGTTTCCAGATTTCCAGCATCTGCAGTGTTTTGTACAAGTGAATTAGGTTGTTTTATTGGCCTCTGTTGATGGAAAACAAGTTCTTGTATGCCTGATAAATGTTCATTTAAATTTCCTAGTTTACCCTTGGAATTAGATTCTGCTTTACAATTAGTGAAACTGGAAATAGTACCATATGACTTTGAGCCTGTTTATAGCACAGAAGTACCGTTTGCCTCAATGGCAGGCCAACTTTATCCTGACAAAAACATGCCAACATTGGCAAAATGATGCTTGGGAGAGAAGGTTAAATTTGTAAGGTTATATATTCTTCATGTTTCAATGGACCTCATAGTAATTCACTCACCTGGGCCCTTTTCTAGGAAGACAATCTTAGACTCAGGAAGAAAATTTGAACCACTAACAATCACTTCTTCTCCACCAATGACTGAGCATGAGCTGATGCTGTATTTCTCAATCTGAGGAAGTTCCTGGGCAGAACGCTGGGCTACATTGTCAGACAAAAAGGAAAAACAAATACAAATTCTAATTGATTAAATGCATCAAACTTGACATTTCAATCCTCGCAAATTTTCTCCAACTCCACCCAAAGTATTGGTAGACAAAGAATTGATATGGGAATCTTTCAAAAAGCAGACAAAATCAAGTGTCTAATGAGAGAAAGTAATTGTGTGTTTTGACAAAAAAAATGATATCGTTAGCAACTATGAGTAAGTAATCATGGAGAGAAATTATACCACAGTAAATATAAAAAAGCTTCAAAATATGACTTGATAAAAGTTTGTTGAAATTCTAGTAAAGCATTTAGGGTAGAGAAATATTAAGATAAAATTGGTGTTCAAATACAAATTCTTATATTAATCTGTTATTGCTCAAGATTACCAAGAGGAAGAGCAAAACCGTTTAAATAATCTCCATAAATGTAAATTCATACTAACAGCATTCAACAGGAATGGAAGCTGCTTGGAGTGACACAACTTTTCCATTAGGCTGTGGGATGTGCACACGGAAAACAAGCCGAACCCTTGTATTTTTTCTGCCAATATCGGTTTCACCCTTGCGAAGCTCTATATCAGAATTGCGTAGTTTCAAAATTCCAGCACAGTCAATACTAAAGAGAAAGAAGTTACAGGTCATTTAGTAACAGTAGAGGTCATTTAGTAAGACAAGGGTGTAATAAGTATTGCTCTGAAGTGATCCAAAACTTTAGAATTGAGTCCTGAAAAATACTTACTGCTACACATTAAAAACAAAAAGAGCAAGGCACAAGTCATGTCATTCTTACTTTTATAAATAGTCTAAATCAATGTACTGCTGATATCTTTTTAAATCAGAGTAATGGAGAAGATAAATTAAGATTATAATATTTTCATTTATGATATTATACTCATAAATTAATATTATAATTTTTATTTGTTGGAGGAACCAGAAAGCCTATAATGGAAATTGGTTTTGCATTATGGGGCAGAATAATTAACGGGCACCTTGTTAATCATAATCCCTTTTTATATGGCATTTGCTAGAACTGAAACTTAATTGTAATAGACCAAGCATCTGTATGCCACACTGTAACATCCTTAATTTGCAGAAAATGCCAGAATGGATCTGATGAAGATTTTTTTTGTAGATCTGATGTCCTGTACATGCATATTCCAAACTGGATTTCAAGTGTAATAAAGGCAGCTGAGGGTGGAAGCGTGATATAACCGTATGCATAAATTTACTACTTAGCTAGCAGTGCTGTCCGTTTAAAGTTGGATATTGGTGGCAGTGGCGCAATTGCAGGGCAGAAATATCTTAATACTTAAATCTTAGGAACTGCCTACAGTTCAATTTTTGTCAAGTCTTTAAAAAGTTGATAAGTAAATAGACAAAATACATAGGACAAAGGATTTGGACAAATACCTGGCAGTCATATTGTTTTCAGGGAGAAGAGGAATTTCAAGAACCTTTGTACTGGAAATGATAATCTCCTGGCTAGCTGTAGCAACAGTCTTCCCAGTGATTCTGTGCACCTGGTAGAATGCATGTGGTCTCAAATAGCGATCATCAGCAGTTCCAATGAACATCTGCAGATTGATTGACTTTTCATTGTAACCTTGAAGCTGTGAAAAAGACACATTTACAGTCAGCAAAAGTGGTTTTAAAAAAAAAGCACAGAAAAGTTAATTTTCTTCGATGAAACCTACAACAAAATGAAAGGTCATCGTTGAAATCCTTTACCCAACCAACTCTATGTTCATTTGTGATATTTCCCTTCGCTACATAGCTTCCATACATTCCCCTTTATTTATATTTGTCTCCTTTTCATTCAATAATTTGCCCTTCATTTTCTTCTTGCCTTAATGCAAATATGAAGACGCACAGACTGGGACAAATATAAAGCTACCAGACAATAATGTAGTACTTGGGCCCAGGAAGAGTATTTTTTTATGCAAATATGAAGACGCACAGACTGGGACAAATATAAAGCTACTAGACAATAATGTAGTACTTGGGCCCAGGAACAGTATGTACATAGTGCCTAATAATATGTTCTCTGAAGGGGAAAACAGGGAAGCAACTGTAAGCCAAAGTTGGATATAGGTTGTCAGAAGCCTTTTAAAGACAGAATGAAAGGGATAAGGCAGAAGGATTTAGGGAGAGAGTTCCAGAAGGTGATGGTACTTTTGTTATCAACAAGAATGATCAAAGTGCCCTTCGCCCATTCTCAGTACTCAAGGTATTCAAGGTGGGGTGCGCAGCACAAGAGATATCCAGGTAAGTCCCCCAAAGTTCATACCATTTACAAACAGAAGCATTACAATTTTATCAGAAATTAACTATGACACGGATCTTGGAGATGGAGTGCATATCCCAGATAAAAAAATATTTGGTTGTGCAAGCCCAAAGCTTTCGGCTTGTTTTTGAGGACTGTACTAAGCTTGAAACCCTTACACAAAATAGATAAATGTAACGTAGGCAGATTTCCCCTGAATCTTACAACATTCTGGAATCTCATACAATTTGCCCTACACTCTTCTCATAGAAATGGAATTCACCCTGTTCCTTCCCGATTACTCCACGAATCACCATTTCTTTCAATATAAGGGACACATCTATTCAAAGCACCGAAGTTCCTTTAAATGTTGTAAAGTTAGAATTTTGGTTTCCTATTACACACTCATACGTGGGTATAACTCATGTCCACCGAAGATCTACGATTTCCATGCTTTACAGATTCTATCAATTTAGCATGTTCCTTAATGTAATTTTCATATCTGGATTAATTAATGCATCTTAAAATAACTACAATTTACATGATTTGTATAAAGGACAATACTGAAAGTACAAGAGAATACCACACATTGTGCAAGATTTTGGTATGTTTCATATGCTGAGATCATATACTGAGAAAAGTAGGCAATGTGTTGCAATAAATACCTTAGGGAAAAGTAAAAATTGTGTGTGTGCGTGTGTGGTGTGTGGAGGGGGACACAGAGAGAAATGTGTAATTCCAATAAAGTTACTGACCTTGCTAGCATGTACTTATCCTGTTATGAATGAATGCAAGATCAGTAACCTTACTGACCAGCAGAAAGTTCTCAAAGTACTAGTGTACTTTCTACACCGAGTAATCCTAGCAATTTTCGTAAGATATTACTGGTCTTTTGTTGAAGTTAAATAGTTCTTGGCAGTAAACATTGAACATTCGCCTGCGTATACCGTGATTAGATTGAAAGAAAATCTCAATGTTAGAGAGATTTTGACAGTGTGATAAGGTAATATCACATTCAAGCATTATTTCAAGTTTGTTTTACTGTTATGTGTTCACATTTCTTTTATGTTGATTTTTCGTCTGTCAGGACTGTCCCTGTGTTTTGGGTGAAACATTCATTTCTTCAAAGCCAAAGAACTCAGGGACAGAAGCAAACGAGGCAGTTATTTTATGAACATTTTCAACTCACTATAACCTTTATAGGTTATACAGTGGAGCCCCATCATAACGTTATAATTAGGATCCATAAAATCCCAAACCTTCAGCATGTCACCACCATCAACTCCTTTCTGCCATGCATTCCCAGCCCACAATAACTTCATCTACAACCTTATGATGCAACAGTATTCCCAAAGGTTTGCTCCAAATACAGCAGCAGAGTTTGGATTATTTTGTGAGAGTATAATTGAAATATATTTGGATTGTACACAAAAGAGCAAAATGGAAACTAAACAATAACATGTTATTTGTGAATACCAAATATGATTGTTGAATATAACAATACTATAAAAGCTGACCTCAAGAAGCAAAATACTCTATTGATTTAGTTTCAATGATAAGAACTAATCATTTTGCTTGATCGACTGGGTAGAACTAATCATGCACTAAACTGAATTTCAGTAAGATTGCTCTCAAGCTAAACAAGCAATCATTTAGTGTTTTAAAACTCACATCTCAGAGTATGTTAATACATACACAATGCACACACACAACTCTGTTATATTTGTAACATTGGCTCAGTGCAAGGGCTTTCTTTAGCCATGGGCAGAGAAAAAAAGATGTACTCTGATAAAAGTTATGAAATAAACACCAATGCTAGTTCATCATATGGTTAGTCTTTCAAATATACTACATTTTCATTTATATTAGTGATCAAACACACCACATTACATGAAAGAATGTGACGTCTGCTGGGTTCATGGTTATTTAATCTAACAAAACTTCAATTGACCAGCTGCTCCACACCACAACTTAAGCTTATGAATTCAAAGTTATATTAAAGTACTGACATTTATACCTTCCAGGTCAGTAAAATCACCACATGCCCTTTCTGCAGGGATAGTAAACAGAAACTAAAATAAAACTGCTGTATAATATTACATATGTTGATCATCTAATTTAAGGACATTTTATTTTAGTCTCCATCTGTTCTATCAACACTCTCCATTAATAGCTAAAGTAACAAGCTCATGAGTCATGACCATTGTAAAATTAAGTTCTGTTCTTAAGAAATTCAAAACTTTAGTTACAAAGATTATATACATCATTATGTTAATCTAGAGGTATCCTATGGATCATGAAATATCAACAGCGAGACCTTTTTCCCCGTGCCCGAACCCAAGTAATACTACACTACTGAACCAACACCCACTACTTTTAGATCAAACCTCTGCCAAGTTGTTTCTGTATATTTCTCTTATGTTTCCATGGCAAAGGTCAGTGTGTGCGTAAGTAAAATTGTAGTGAAGGGGCTAACACTGAAGGTCACTGCAGCATAAACAGCAATCCTAAGCAACCCTGCAGTGTAGTTTTAGGAATTGTAATGGCTTCGGGAAATTTTATTCTATAGCTCAAAGAAAAACCTCAAAGCAACAAAAGTCACTTTAAAACAAGTGAATTAGCTTGAGAATAAAATGTTACTTATAAAACAGGATCTAGTAACCTCTTAAACAACCGGCAATGTTTACCTTGCTAACCTAATGCAGTCCTAATCTTTCAGCAATACAAGAGTTAAATATCTTACACACAACTTGAATAAGATTCAGATTATAGTTTGTTCCATTATATCAAAACATATATTTGAAATTTATGACAATGTATGCTTAGTTCCGACTGATATGAAGAAACAAAACAGCAGATTTCAAGAGCCTGATATTCCCCGGTGCACAATGCGAGATTATATATAATATTATTCTATTAGAGGTTAGGAATATACCTCAAACCAGACAAATATTTAACCATTCAAATACATATACTGTATAACTGTTTTCCAACTATGCTCAGTGCAGATGTTTAAAAGATTCAATAATGTATGATTCACACTTGTCCTGGCTTTTGTACATTGTATGCGCAGAAACGTGCATGCAAAAGCTATTTTCATTCCACAGAACCTATACAGCATTTTTAAAACAATAATTTCTTCTTTCTGAATCCTCACCCCCCAAAAAACAATACTATTGAGAGATTTAACCCTGACCTCAAATTGAAAATTGTCTTAGTAATAGTGAGATAGTGATGATGAATTATAAAAAATGCATTGGGGCAATGACCCTCAGAATTCAAACAGATACGGTCTGAATACCCTACTAAATACAGTAACTCGGAAGAGTGCTTTGTGCAACATTACAAATGTGTTGATTATGCAAAGTAAACCATTGAATAGTATGATTAAAAACATCCAAGAAGATGTCAGCTAATGGTCCAAAGGATAGTAGATGGAATTTAATGTACAAAAATATGAATATTGATCTGGATATTAACAGAAAATAGTAAATATGTCCAAAATCAATGGGAGTCAATTCCCAGAGGTGGAGAAAAGAAAAACAGCGAAAAGAAAAGGTGATTTTTAGTCATTCATTGAAAGGGTTCTAGTGAATGTGAAGCTCCCATCGACAAATACATTCAAATGTCATTGCACCGCAAGGTCATTTAGTTAAGTTGAAAAATGCTACTGTGACCTCGCACAAATGAATGGTGAGGCTACATTTGGAACAGTATATTCAGGTTTAAACACCATCTTTAAAGAGATTAAAATGTTTAGAGAAGAGCGCAAAAAACAAAGAGAAGCACAGAAAATATAACTTTAAGCAGGCTATTTTACACTCCATAGGTCACACGAAAACAAAGGTTTCATAGGTTTACGTTTTAAAAAAACTAAAATTTGGCTGCCAATAGAATTCAGTGCATTTCCTTCTGTGAATACTTTTTCTTTCCTTTAATATTACCAGAAAGAAATCTGCATTATCTTATGTATGTACACATGCCAAGCCATTTAATTATCAAAGACAACAGCTCAAGGAACATTTTTCCCCCTGGCAAAACAAAGCACACAATAAGCAGATTACATATGCACACAACAGGGACTGGACAACTCATTATTGGCTTACAGTCTCCTAGCAATAGGTTTTACAATTACCTGTGTACCAAATGACCAAGCACTAACCTACTTTCAAACCCATTCCCATCCCATGTCACAGCGCATTTCCAGTTGTACAAATTAGGTAGCCAAATAGCACATGGTGGAACAATACACAAACGCATATTTATTTTCTGAATCCATACATTGAACCACCTCATGCTATTTAAGTGCACACAATCTACTTCACGGATTCCCAAGGGGGAAACAAAACCATGCAAGGTGGCCTCCATAAACAAGCTCCAGAAAATGGGTTTCTTGCAGGCAAGACTACATTAGAAACAGATGTGTACATTTTTTGCTGACTGATCACTTTAGCATGCACTTGGTTATTAATAACCTTGTTTTAGAAACTTCATTTTCTATTGGTACATTAACAGAGAAAGGCTTCCATAATCACCGTCTTCTTTCAGCAGCTGAAATGAAAATACATTTGAAGTTCTAGGACTCGTACAACACAAGCGCTTGTAAAGAAAAGAAAGCTACCTTGATTATGGAGTTCTCTAAACAAAGTTTGAATAGCAGAATGAATGCCTGCTATAGTGAGGAATTAATGAAAGAACATTCAGATTTGTTTCTCTTGTAAGTCTTGCCTGAAAAACCCATTGATTTAATTTCACGTAAGGTCAAGGTGGAAATTGGTACTTTCATAACTTTAACCATTATACCTAAAGCATACCGCAATATACCGGATACGACCACTGACATTTTCCTTCACAAAGAACACATTGCTTGTACAACTTCTCCTCTCTCATGAAAAGTCTTCATTGATTTTTTATAACCTTCTCACAGCAGTCAAAATGGGTTAAGGCCATTTCATATCAATGGGAAAATTGAAAAACTATTCATACATTTGTTGAAAACTTTGTTTTGCTAAACTTTCAGAATGCCCAATAATTTGTTATTGACTTTTTTTAAAATAATCAAAAATTTATTGAAGATTTAGATCACAGAAATGAAACTTAAAGCAAAACTGAACAAGGATAAAGACAGGAAGTTCCAGAGAGTGGGGCAGTGGAGTGACAAGCAGAAGAACTGAGGCCAGAAGATTAACAGTGGTAGGAAGATTTGAGGACATGAAGGAATTTGAGGACGAGTGAGCAATATGAAATTGATCCTGTGGACGACAATAAAGTCTGGCAAGGATGGGGGTAATAAAAATATTAACCACAGCTTTTCTGTTTGTAAGACTAAATTGATCAATGAAGAGGGACAACTATTAATAGGAGCCAGAAAATTACTGCAAGTACCTTAACAACTGGGTGCCCTCCTGAAGATGCCTTCACAGCTCCTCGACTTCCTTCAGTTTCATAGTGGGCTCTGTGGTGAGTCTTCGGATGCACCTCAACTTTTAGATCATACTGCATATATTGACTTGGCAAGGGCCAGTCTAAGGAAGGCAACGATGACGTACTGAAAACCAAAATACATGTTTAAAAGTATGCTTAATGAAATCTTATGGCATACTTTATTTAAGACAAACTAGTTTACATTATCAACTAGGCTTTTAACATTCACGTATTATGGACATTTCAAACAACATCTTATATTTGATATGGATTAAACTGACATTTCAAGAATAACATTTTCTCTTTAGGGCCTTTCTACTGTCATATTCTTCCCCTCAGCCTAGGGCCTATCTGGATCTGCACATTGCTAAAGGATGGGTTAGTTCATTCTCAATACTCCCTTGGGAAATGTAGAATAGAAGCTGAAAAAATGTGGTTAGTGAAGTTCGATAAATTGTAGTCTGAGCAGTAAGCAATCATAATGCTATAGTCAAGATAACAGATTAAACATTGTCCATTTTTAAACAATCCTATATCTCATATAACAGCACTACAAATAAAGTTTTTTTTCAGTTCTAATAGACTATGTAAAGTAGAATGAAAAATGGCAGAAGTTGGAGGACCAATTTGCTGAGTCAGTGGTAGGTTCATTCAGGTTCAATCTCTACTCTGAGAAATCTTGTGTAGTCAGAACTAACACTGGCTCTTCCGGTCCATATTTAGCAGATTCACAGAAGTGCCAGCAGAGGCTTGCAAACTAGACAATTGCCTGCTTTCTCAACTGCAGCTAATGCCTTTAGATTAGGGACATTATATTTGTGAGAGAGATACAGAGAAATAACTTAACTCTCAATAAATCAGTATACATGTTGAACAATGAAATAAAGAATCACTGACACTTTCAGGTCAGTTACAAAGTTGTGCACTCATATTTTGCAAAATTGATCTTTTAAATTTCCTGTGATTGATGTACAAAATTAGAAACCCATAAAGGAAAAATTATATGTTTAATGTACATTCTAAGCTTTTATTTTTAATAAAAGTGCTAAAATGAATCATAGAATATTACAGAGCATTAGGAGGCCAGTGTGCCTGTGCCGGCTCTTTGGAAGAGCTACCCAATCAGTCCCACTCTTTCCCTGTATCCTTGCAAATTTTTCATTTTCAAGTACCTACCATATTCCCTTTTGAAAGTTGTGATTGAATCGGTTTCCACCACCCTTTCGGGCAGTGCATTCCAGATGGTAACAACTCTGAAATAGTATTTCTCCAAGATGAAATAATCCCTCACAACATTAGACACTTACTCTCAATGGTCATTACATTAGTCACGTTTTGTGCAGTTTTTCCAATATTAGCGCTCAGAACTCACTTCCGACTTCAGCAGTGTAAATTGAAGAAGAAAAGAGAGAAATAATCATTGTTCCCACTTCTGATCACTCTATCCAGTTGGAAAGTGCATGTTTGTACATGTCAGACAAGGAGAGGATCAAATGTAATGCTTCCATATCTGTATACCTTTCCAACTCTCACTTCTTAAGTGTTCATGCATGAAGAATGACCACTTGTTGACATAATCCTAGTGCCTAGTAAACCTTATCAAGCACAAGTGAATAACTTCAGAAGAAGGGGTGAGAAGATTACAGAAGGGAAAACATTTATTTTTACAAGCTAAAATTTCAAAGTATAGCAGAGACCTTTCATTGACATGCACAAAAATCTATTGCAGCTCTGGTGTCTTCTGAGTTAATATTCATCACAAGGGGTAATCATGGATGTGAAATAAAGGAAAGCCAATAGTATGTTATGACAATATTTGATTATTTGTGTTTGAACATTAATCAGGATAATTCCCTCTGGGATTTGAGCACTAATCCAGGCCAAGTAATGGAATGAAAGTATATTGCATAGGAATTTATGACCAGAAGATCATTTGGCAGAATGAGCTTGCTCCATCAGACCCCCTCGATCGTACTATGTACTACTTACTATCTTCCCTAATTCCCCTCACTACCTACTTTATCCTTTAATATTTCTACTTCAAAAGCATCTATCCAGCTCTTTCTTGATTCCCTCCATCAATGTCCTTCTGGGGCAGTGCATGCCAAAATGTATCACTTTGCAAGAAATGTTTATAAATACTACTATATTTCAAGGGACACATGAGTTACTGAAGAGGTTACCTGTCCGTCTACTGCCGATGGATCCTGTGCTGAATAACAAATGGAAACCAACAAGTCCCAAATTATAGGTGGAAGATAATACTTTACTAATTTAGCGTAACCAGCATTAAGATCAAGGGCGAGAGGACTAAAAAGTTCACAGAAGGAGATGGATTTTCCAAATCATTAACTGCAAAAAGACTGCTTTAGTGCTTAAAGTGACTCATGATCAACCAATAATACCAAGTCCAATGTTATCCTGAGAGCCTTTCCCAGAAGTATTGGCATCCTATACTCTCTATTATGGTTTTATCAGAGTATAATTCAAATAAATGAACTGTTTAATTCATTTTACTTTTTTTTTTAAAAAAGCAAAGATTCAGCATTACATGTTCCCATCCACCTGTGTGCAATATATATTTATCTTTACATTTACAAATGGGTCTGCAATTTAGATAGGTACAGCTTCTTAAATTTACCCACTGTTAATTATCTTTTTTAAAATAAAGTAACCTTCCCCAAATCAGTCTTTTTCCTTTCAAATGTATTACCCAAATTAACCACTATCTTGTACACAAAACCTTTTAAAGCATACAGACCAGACAAGCAGCATCTATGCTTAAAATGCATCAGTTAGGCGTAAAGTGGCAGAAGCAGGATTAAAAAAAAATCAAATATATGCTTGCACCTTGCATTAAAATACTACAATTCTTTTTAAAATTAGTCGATCCTCACTGCAAGAATCGATTTATTCATCTATGTCAATGATGAATAATATTGTAATTCAAACAAAGTACACTTTTTGCATCAGGTTTTGGTCAAGTTTAAAAAGCCAAGACTAATATTAGAGATCTATGAGATCCAGAGAGTGTTTGACTTTTATCTATCTAAGGTTAAATTTTTAATCACAGCATCAATTAGAAATTTTACATAATTTATACTTCCAAACACTAACTGTTCCTATTTATCTTTTAAAGCGTTTGTAAAGAAAAAAAATCATTAAAAAGCTTTTAACGCAAAACCTTTGGAGTTTTAATCCATAATATAGTAAAGGACTATTTTGCACAGCTTTATTAGTAGCAACATTTTGGCATTCATGTTTCAATTTCCTTCTTTTTTTAAAAAAAGTGTTGTCTCAGCACGATTTCTGATAACATCTGATAACGATTTCTGGAACATCCTGTAGTCAGCTTATCATGAATAGTACACAACATTTACAAGATAGATGGAATTCAGTGTAGATGATATTAAATTAGAACTCCTCAACATTTACTTAGAACTCCTGCTCTTAAGGCAAACCCACTCATTAGATTACGTCAAATAACTACCATGGTCTGGTCTACCATGAGTGTGAAGATTAGCTCGGCACTATAGAAACCAGTGTCAAATTTCTTCCGTTCAGAGCTGCCTTCAAACAATGCAACTTCGAATGTAAAAGTGAGACTTCAAATAAAAATTGAAGTTCTATACAAAAAGAAAGGTCTTTTAAACTGAAAATACCTGCTACAGTGAGAATTTAGCCTAGCAAAAAAAACTGGAAAATAAATTCATCCTGGATCTAAATAAATAACCAAGCAATCATCTGAACACCCAAGACTGTCTGAAAATAGATTAAATTTTCAATAGTGCTAATTATAAAGTCATACAAAAAACAGAGATCCTCATATTCTACTTTTACATTTCACCAACTTGGATCCTTTAAGTTTCTACAAACTGAGACTCAAAATAAGATTATGATATGTTCCGGAATCACTTTACTTAGCAGGTAACTGGGAGCTGTTCTTTTAAATGCACTTAGTACTTTTTTTTAAACAAACTAAGCATTACTGATTCAAATAAATAAGAAATTACTGGAATTTCTGCAACCTTATTCAGTCAACTAATCATCAGCTTTTCGCTCCAATTACAACACTTCTTTTATAACTAACTAGGTGGATCATGATTTAGGAAAAAACAATGACATCAGAAACACCCTTATGATTGTTTGAAATAAAGCTTAAGAATTTTAACAGCAATAAAATGTAAATCATAAATTAAATAACATTTTACATGTCATTCCTTAGAGGTTGTTTTAAAATCCTGCCTTCAGAAATTTGCTCCCAAGCATGTGTGATTCTCTAAAATCAGATTTTTGATCCTGCAATTCAAAATTGTTTAACCTTTACTTTTTTAAAAAAGTTGCTTTTCCCAAAGACTGATCAGCATTCTATTGAAGGATTTAAACCAGTGGCAAGCATTGAAACACTACAGGACTAAGAGAACAATAAGCTTTGTATGTTTAACATTAAGACTTTTGGCCACAAAAATACTGAAGCCTCTATATTTTCAATCTTTCTTTTAGGTCAGGACAGAGCTTGTTCAAGTGCTACTTTTACACAGCATAGAAAGAAATTGGAGAATTGAACTTGAACTCAAATTCACACCCTCTTTAGAACTACCCATGCATTAGTTTAAGTGAAATTGTATTCCACCTCACATGACCTCATCACTCCCACCCTCGCCCGACTCCACTGGCTCCCCATCCCCCAGAGGATCGAGTTCAAGATCCTCGTCCTCACCTTTAAGGCCATTCATGGCCTTGCCCGCTCCCTCCATTCATCGGGCTCCGGCCTGCTCCATGTCTCTCGCCATATCATCGGTGGCCGGGCTTTCAGCCTCTCTGCCCCCACACTCTGGAACATGGTCCATCCCACAGTCCCTTCGCCTCGCTTCCTCCCTTGCCTCCTTCAAGGCCGGCCTCAAGACCCTTCTCTTCGACCATGCCTTTGGTCTCCCTCCCACCTCTCTGCCTTCCCTCACCCCTACACCACCCCTCCCTCATGCTCGGGCCCCGACATGACTGTTCAGCACTTTGGGACGTCCTCCCGACGTGAAAGGCGCTCTATAAATGTAATTTTATTGTTGTTTATTAAGGAAATTGAATAGATTCAGTATTTTATTCTGCATCTCTAACCTCCTCTCCAAGTGACGGAGTCATGCTGTAGTATGGCTCCCCAACCACTAGCTTCCTTCTGGTATCTTGCTCAAAAGGCCTACGGTCTATGTGTGAAACTAAAATGTGAATGTCAGTCGAGACCATCATTCTCATTGCACACATATACAATTAGTCATAGAATGGCAATCGAAAATAGGAGCTCCAACTAATCTGGTGCCTTTTTGAGTCCAATAGTACTGAGGCCAATTATGCCACATTCATAATAGTACTCGAATGCCAGCCCCTGTATTACATTATGAACGGAATAGTTATCAAGCGCTTTGGGACGTCCTCCCGACGTGAAAAGCGCTTTATCAAATGCAAGGATTATTATTATTATTAAATGTATCATTCATAATTTCAAAAGAGATGAATTACAAACTTTCAGAAAATACTTGCGGCAATCCATCTAACAGTGAAGTTGTACATTTGAGCTCATGCTTGTGCATTACTCATTTATTTATCTGAATACGTCCCTTAATGCTTCACCCACTTTAAAAGTTTTAACTTAGAAATATAATATTATTTAAAGGGTCTGCATGCCTTATCTTTGTAATGACACATTTCATGAAGTTTGAACCATGCTTTTTAAAATTCTGTATTTCCATTAAAAACAAATGTTTTAAAATGTTGCATTCTTAGTGCTTTTTCTTCCTCCTTACGGGGTTGTAGGAAGTCAATACTGGGAAATGGAACACTTCACATTTCACTGTAGAGCTAAATAAACTGCAGAATAAAGCCCCTTCCACTTTATCCCAACACTCCTTGCCGTAATTTCTCCAATCCGTCAGGATGATTTTTCATTCCTCAACAACGTTAGTTCTTACTCATGATTTTTACCATACGTGAAATTGCCCTTTATGAACTTCCATACAAAGAAGATAAAAGATAAAAAACACTGTGGTTTGAAACTCATGTATTACATTTCTCTCACAGAGAAAGCAGCATTACGTAAAATATAATTTTAGCTGAACCGCATTAAAAAGAACCAGCACCGTTGAAAACTAGATCAGGACAAAACTTAAGATTAAACATGAAATCTCTCTCTCCTTTAGGATAGTAGACCTAATGTGGATTTCTAACAAATGTGTTTTTATTTCAGATCTTTAGCATTGTTTTCTTTTTATTATCACTATTTTGACTTGTACACTGTTATTGATAAAGTGATATTATTTTATGCCGTGTCCTGTGGAAGATGCTGCTCATAAGTGAAACATATTTATTTACCGTTAGGTTTAAAATGTAAAGAAAAGTGACCAACTTCCAGGAGTTTAGGTCGCTTCTGGCACCACTTCCTGTGTGTTGCTTGCTATGTGTAAAAAGCTCTGATGTCAATTCCTTTGTGAAGTAAAATCAGTAGTATTCACAGGAGTGTTCCGCAGTTCTGCTTATCGCAGGTCCACAGGAGACCTTTGCTATAGGTATATAGTAGGCTAATTCAAGGACACCATAACAGGGTTACCCTGTTGCCGAAAAAAAAATATTCATATCACAGGCACCAGGAAGTGCTCTTAGCTCTATGATGGTTTCCAATTTTTATATCCCTTTAGATTAACAACCGATATGGAAATTTTTCAACAGATGCACAGCACTTACCGAAAAATAGGTGTATGGCCACCAGGTTTTGGTTTATTCCAAGTGAAATGTGAGGGAACTGAGAGAAACTGCTCACTCGACAAATCTTTCTTTAATGGATGCTGAGAGCCAGAAAGATCCTCTAATGGTGACTCAATGGATGATGACAAGCATCCCTGATCTTCTGAAGTTAATTCTGCTTTTCCTGACACTGTAGCTGTCTGGTCCTGAGAAGTCTTTCTTGATTTTAAAGGGATATTAGTGTCTGGAGGAAAGCACTGAAAAGGTAGGAGTCCAGGACTGAGACTTGAGGCACCCTGAAGAGCAATGTTTCCAAGCCATGTATCCTCTGTCACACTCCCTCTGGGGGAGTGTCCTGGAGATGGTGTCGGTGAATGGTGGGGTGAAAGTGAATCTGCATAACAAATTTCTGCACTTGAATGACGCCTTTTTCCACATGGAGAAGTAGGTCTTGATGACGGCCTTGATGTTGGTCGAGGGCTTAGCCAGTTTTCATCAGTAATGCTAGCTCTAGGTGAATGACATGGTGATTGCCTGGGAGACAATGAATTTGCAAGTCCATAATTTGGCTGCCAGGACTCATCTGCTGGGCAACCTCTGGGTGACCCACCAGGAGAACTGAGTGTAAACCGAGCAGCAGCTTCATTCAGCTCAGAGTCTACATCGTCGTAAACATGAGAGAAGGACTCACACGAGGAAGCATCTGAGAACCAGCTCCTTGAAGAAATGCTGCTGGCAGGACTTGGGCTTAGTGAAGCATCCCTATAATAAGCAGGATCAAGAGGAAGATATAGGTGGTCTCTGGACGGTCTTTCCAAATAATCATTATCCGTGCCGTTTGCATGCACTTCATCTTCATTAGGCCCAATTCCTTGGTGACAGTTGGGAGAAATCGAGGTGATCTGAATACTAGGGCACTCAAAAGCTTTTGGAGCACCTATAGGACTATACTTGGGCTCCTGGATATTGCAGGTCTGCAACCGTAATGGTGGTGAAAATATCGTAGATAATGTCTGTGTTTCATGTTGAGGGATGCCTATTGGACGATTTACACTTGACAGAGGATTGCCTTCATTAACAATGTAAAATGGTGCAGAATCATCTAGTTCTCTCTCTAGAAAAAGGAAATAGAAAAATTAAGTAAGCTATGGAATGCATTCACAATAAATTTGTTGTAATCTTCATGATAAAACCTCTAGTTATTTTACTAGTATGAAGGTAAATTAATTTTAATATTCCCAGGGCATGTATGTGTGCATGAAACACATCAGGGGACGTTTCACTAAATATCTCAAATTATTTTCCATGGCTTTCCACAATCCTCTTGAAATCAAAGACACAACAAAATGAGCAATTATCTTTACCTATAATATGATTTAAAAAATCCTCTTAGGAGAAAGGGCAAAAAGAATCAGAAACTCTTCCCAAACTAAATTACCGAACTTTTACAAGATGCTATGTGAAGCTGTAGGACCATACTACAGTTACACGATACTGGCATCGTTTCTGCTACATAGCAATACTACATTGTGTTGTATCGAATACACTATTGTACTGATCTTCAATAACCCAAGGTTGAGAGTATCTAACTCAATATGGCGTTTAATAAAGACACCTGAATAAAGGTTTGTCAAGAGTACTAAACTGCATGCAGAATCATGTCGTCTGCACCTAAAGAATAATAATCTTTGCAATTGATATTGCGCTTTTTATGTCTTCTAGATGTCTCAAAGCAGTTCACAGAATATACTGCAAAGTGAATTGATTGTATATTTGTGGGCAAAACGCAGCAGCCAATTGTACACAGCAGTGTCCCACAAACAGTCGTGGATTGAAGTGACCAAATTATTATTGGTTTTTTCCTGAGGGTTTATTATCAGGCATGTGGAGGAAGGAAACTTGCCCAAGGTTTCGCCCTGTCAGGAATCGATTCCAGGTCTCTCGCTTGTGAGGCGAGTGCTCTAATGAAATCTTTCCTGAAGCATTCGGTCAAAAATATGTTTGTTAACTCAGCTGATGAATTAGCTGGTAAAGGAACTAAATCATTACAGACCAGATTACAGATTTAGTTGCTGGTACCCATCATAGTCAGTAAGCCACTACAAGTGGCCTTGGTGTTCTTTGGGCTATAAAGCAGAAAATCAGTCGCTTGCTATTCAGCGACCCCTACTGGAAATTGCAAGTTTGAATGAACTACAATGCCATCAATAGTAGATTAGCCAACACTCACTGGCTGAGCTCACAAATCAAGAATGAACAATGAATTAAATACTGGAGATGTTGGCACCTGTGGAACTGCTCCTCAACAATGAATCAATACCTTTGGAAGAAACATAACCAATAAAACTTTGGATTGCAACTGGCTCTATAAAAATATCATTCAAATCTCCTAAACCCTTACATTTATGTTAGATGCAAGCACAAGTACAATACGCAGTCTGCTCTTACAATGAAGAAATGTACCTATCTAACACAGATAATGATCCTTGATACAATTATACGTGTTCTGTACATTTCACTCTTTCCCCCAAGCCACCATACGTACAAAAAATTAGTACGGGAAAAATCCAGTTTGGTAACAATACACATAAAACAAGAAAGGACAGCAGATGAACAATGACAACCGATGCTTACCTATTGCCACAAAAAAATGATTCATTACTTTCAAAGTATTTTGAAGCACCACTGTCCATTAAAATGTTAGTGAGTCAGTTGAGCTGACATTCTACCTCTAATGTCAGCAGAGTGCATTATACCAAGAGCTTTCAAGCAAGAGTCAGTCAATTTGACCACATACAGCTAACATAATGGAGTCTTGAGTATGTCCAGATGCATTTAAAAATTCATATGATGTCTCTCTAGTTTCTAAATCGGTCCCAAATTAGAACAATTTTGATTTGTCAAATATGTGATAAGTTCTTCACCAACTTTTAGGGAAATATAAACTAAAATATCTGAAGGTCATCATTCTATTGCCCCTTTCAAGCAGTTAACTAATAACAAAAAATATCCTCGTAATTAAAACTAATTAAAGAGTGTATTGGCTACCTCTTTTGTGCCTCGTTTTCTCAGCTTATACTAAATTTACTAGAAAAAATGTTTGAAATTGATTTAATTTGTTTCTCAACAACAACAAGATTGCATTTATACAGCCCTTTCACGTCGGGAGGACGTCCCAAGGCGTTGGACAGTTGGGTCAGGTCTCAAGCTTTTGATAGATTCAAACATGCAAGTTTTTAATACTTGATTTATATTCTCAAGAGTTGCACAAAACAACTGAACACTTTCGCACTAAGGCCTGATATATCGGTGGGTTACTTGTACCACATCTTGAGATTTGTGTTTAAAAGAAAAATTTCAAACTTTACAGACCTTGAGCACGGTTTGCAAAAGCTCTCCAGTTATTAGAATCCATATGTAATCAAAAACTGAACAAAAATAAAAGGTAAACGGTAGAAGCTAGAGAATAGCAAATATGGAGGTATCAACTCCCCAAATCATGTGCTCAGCCTCAGCTTCATTCACTCCCCCCCTCCCTGTGGATTCAAAAAAGAGCAACCTCTTCTTACAAGTGCATGTGACATCACTACAAATTTTATGTGAAGTTCACACTTATGGTTCGCATGTTTGGAGCAGATTCTGATATGATATGGGAACAAAACAAATGATTCAGCAGGAAGAAGAGCAATTTTCCCTATAATCACAGCCTCCACCTGTGTGCTACTCTTCTTGCTGCTCACTTATAGGCACAAACAAACATCATTAATGACCATTTTAACCATTGTTAATTCAACCCCAGGACAAACAGTTTTAGTAACTCCTCCGAGTCAATTTCTTCCAATAAACAGAAGAAAAATCCATTTCATTTTAACTACTTTTTAAAAAAAACATTTAAAAAACACTATAAACCTTCTGAACAATGGCTTTCAGCTGAAATGGTTTAATGAGGAGAATCAACATGCAACGAATAAAATGCATGTGCCAAAGCAAACAAGTCTATAATTAAGAATTTTGTTTGAATGATGCAACATAGATTAGTCAAAAACTACATGAATTAATGAGGAAAGGATTGGGTTTGGCGTGATCACACCCCAGTAAATCAAATAATCTGCCACCATTCAGTGTCAAGGTTTACACATGAAAAATGACCACATGAATGAGATATTAGTGGTTGACCACACCCATGGAACCATATCCATAAGAGAAAACAAGGATTTGGACCAGCTATGAAGAAAAATTGGTGATCAGTGGGGAAAAAATACCTTGAATGCATCAACAACTCCAAGCTGTTCAGCCTAAAATTCTTATTAAAATCCTTCAAGTCCCGCCTCAAAGCCCTCCTCTTCGACCATGCCATCAGTCACCCCCCACCTCCGTTCTCGCCCCCCGACCCCAGCTCGGGTCTGAAATGCTGTACACTGTCCAGTGCCTTGGGACGTCCTCCCGACCTGAAAGGCGCTATACAAATGTAATCTTGTTATTGTAAAATATTCAGAAGTTAATAAACTGGTTCAGCTTTCTTATCCATTTAGTACACTGGCTCTCTTTCCCTCCCCACAAGAACTATAGCTTGCATAATGCACTCTGTCATACCATATAAATGATCTAAAAGATCTTTCATGAGTATATCCGATCCAAACAATCTTTTTCTTTAAAAAAAAGCAAGAATGAAGGGTGAAGACATTATAGAATCAATAGAAAATGTGACAATCCAAAAATGCAGCTCCTTTCACAACAAAATGACTTAAGCATTGTTCAAAGTTAACCAAATTATCATTACCCCTTTCTGCCCAGCAGAGGGTTTGTGGCGCCTCTTCTCTCCAATTGGACAGGAAGGGGATCAATTAGCAACGACTCTGAGATAGATGATTGACAGTGGTTCCGGGATGTTTGGATGGGTCACCCATTCACACACGGCTCCAGCTGTCAATCAATCACAATTTGACTGCTCCCATTCCCTCTCTTGTTTCTTCTCGGTGTTTCTGGCCCCTCACTGATTGACAGCCCAACTCCAGCTGCTTGTGAATGGCTGGAGTCCGCTGTCAAACAATCACAATCTGACTCCTACCATCTCCATCCTGGAGCCACTAGTGGCTGAATGGAACCGCTCAAGACACAGAATAATATATATATTTATTACACACATGTATATAATAATCCTTGCATTTGAAATAGCACCTTATCATGTCTTCGAGGCATCTCAAAGCCTTCACAGAATATGCTTTAAAGTAAATTGACAGTAAAGCATGAGTGAGTGCATTCAGTGGCGACCAGCGCTGTATTTTGTCCGGATTAACCGGATTGTTGGATGAATAAACCTCGTATTTAAAACAGGTAGTAATACAAATAAATTGGTGCCGGGCGTTTTGCCCAATTTACCCAGTATCCAAGGTTAACCGGTGCCCAGTTAACACGTCTTCCATTGCATTAATGCTCTGCACATGACACTTCTTAGCCAACAATCCCACAAATAATATCGGTCACTCAATCCATGGCTGTTTGTGGGACGTTGCTGTTGCCAGATGGCTGGCGCATTTCACCCACAAAATGCAGCCAAATCAACTTTACAGTATAACCTGTGAAGAATTTTGAGACATCTCAATGGCATGATAAAGTGCTATATAAAAAATGCAAGGAATATTATTATTCCAACAATGTACAAATTATCATTCAAAGGAAGAAAATCATGTGAAACCATTTCATTTTAATGGACTGAACTAACATTTTGGTGAACTGTGAGCGTTTTGTTTTTGTAAACACAGCTGTAGAGATCATTTGGCAAAAGCAAGTAACAGTTCAAACAGTCTTACAATAGTAAACAAACATGATTACAATACTAAATGCGAATGTTTATAACAAATAATGTGACATGAACAATAATTCTCGACTAAAGTTGTTAATAAAAAGGTAGCAATTAGATGCACTTCTAATGTAAATAAAACATCACAAACCCTGACATTGGAATGGAAACCATAACTGTCCAATATACTCAGAAGTGCTATCAACGGAACACAACATTCATGTCTCTTCAAAATATCATTGCTATAATTGGCAACCACCTACGCAAAGACCTACATGAGCCGCAAATGCAGCTCGTACCGATGAGCATAGATTTTTTTAAATTCAAACTTTAGACTCAAACTGAAAATATCCTACACAGATTGAGAAAAGTTCCAAAGCTAACTAATGCACAGTTTTTAGGTTTGTTTACCAATGAAGAGTGGCCAGCTTCATGTGCCGCACCCTATCTGATACCCCCTCCACCCCCAATCAGGAGGCAAGCTTTCAGCGACTGTCTTCACACTTTGGAAATCCATTCCAGAATCCCTCTGATTCACCTCTTCCCTCCCCATCTCAAAGCCTGCCTCAAGCTTTTCCTCTTCAACCACACTTTCATTCATCTTTCTATTTACCCACCGTGTTCAGTTCCCATCCTTTGAATCTGAGAGTGCCCAGAAAGCAATGTAAAGCACTTTGAAACAACCTTTCAAAATGAAAGGCACTATATCAATGTAAATTGTATAAATTTGAGTGCAAATATTCCAATGATATTTTTCTTACCTATTTTACTATTATTTTTCAACAAATCTTTTTGACAATATTGCATATGGTGATTGGTCACTCCCAAATTTGATACAATATAAGTGATATAATAAATCCAAGTTGTGGGGATACTGAGAACATTCACCCAGATGGGTAAATTTTTATTTTTCATTTGTTTGTGAAGATAGTGCCTGTGCATCTATTAACATAATTATTCTCAACTCAATTAGTTGTTTTCTGTAAAAGGGCTATCTATAGATCTATAGTAGATGTAAATCGTAATAGAATCAGAATGAAAAATGATTTAAAAAAAGAAAGTGTTTATTTTACCTCATTTTCTAACAAATCTTACCCTGTCTTAAATAATAGTCCTAAGAGGAGGGAATATTCATATTATAGATAAAGCAACAGAGAGGTTTGTGTGATAAAAGATGGGGCGCAGAGGCACGGTGAGGATAATCCACTCTGCCCCAATAACAGGGACTTATACATTCTGCAATAGCAGTAACTTACTTCTTTCTAATTCTATTTTAGTAGTAATATATTGCTATGCTAAGAATGAGCCATGTTACAACACTACTATTATTACTAAATTTAAACTAGTGAAATACCACACATAGCAATCTAAGCTCTACTCCATGGAAACAAATCTCTTGCTCATTATTTAGCAGGACACACAAAGTGGTAACCAGCACTTTAAATAAGTCAGATATGGAATTCCCTAAACAGACTGACACAAACTATATAAAACCTATAAATATCGATAGAGCATTAAACTTTTTTTTGAATAAAACTTGTAACAAATCATTAAATCTGCCAAAAAGCTGTCTAGTTCCATTTTTTTTAAAAAACTGTAAAAGGCAATGCAACCACCAACATTTTTTAAAAATCAAATGAAAATTACTTGCTACAATATCACTGACAATCTATTTCGAAACAATTATCAGGAAAATACAAGTGTCAGTTCAGGAACTTCTGCTCACCTGCGGATATGGCACAAAGCATCTTATATTTTGTGATCCTGCCGTTTGACAAAATAAACCTGAAGTTCAGAAAACTTGTCCTTTAACAACAATGCCAGTCTGATACTTAATTATAATTAACCAGGAGGCAGATGAAATTACAGGCGTCTACTGCCCAGGCTTTGTAGTAGTTGGTATTCCACTTTCTTTTTGTTTCTGTTGCTGGTTATCTATCTACCCCCTGTCAAACTTGAATATCCCTTGAAAGAACAGAACGACAATGTTGTGAAAAGATACAGATGGATATATGGCATCTATTTATGTGCCAATATTGAAGTATACCACCAGCAGATCTGTACTGTGGCAAGAGCTGCTGGAAGTGTATCTGCCTTTCTGATCACACCACTTGTCTTAAATTCCACTGTCATCTGAACCGCACATGGAGTGTCTCAGCAAATTTGATGACTTGGACGTTGGGCTGATTTCCAAGTCTACTCCCTTGTCCCGAAGGGTCCCATGGAGATACAACACCTTCCGTATTTACGTTTCAGAACGTGCAGGTTGGCTGCAAGTATGCCAACAAAAAACAAAACCCGCGGGACACCAACCGAACCGGTCTCAAAAAGAATGGCTAACGCACGAGATATCGGCGAGCAAGTTCAATTCCGCGGCGAGCGAAAAGCCACGCGGGATTTAGAATTAAACCGGGCAAAAAAGTATGATTTAAAAACTCCCGCGTGGGCTGCAATAAGACTTGATTTGGCACTTTAAAAAGGGGGAAAGGAAAAAAAAAAAAGGCGCGTGGGTGGGTAAGGGTGGAGGGAGAGCTGGAAACTAATTTTAAGTCCAATTGACCTCTAAATGCAATCAGTACGTGTGTGGGTTACACGGGTCATTAGCAGCGCACCAACATAAACAGCACCAGCTCAACATGTCCTGTGTGTGTACGATGCCAGGTGGTGTACATGTCCTGTGTGTGTACGATGCCAGGTGGTGTACATGTCCTATGTGTGTACGATGGTGGTGGTGGTGGTGGTGGTCTGGTTTAACGCATCATTACAGTTTTCTTTTTCTTGTTGTTGTTGCATCCGTTGAAAACGCGGATCGGTTTCTTTTCTCTCTCTCTCTCCCCCCCCACCCCTCACTCCCCAATTTTGTTTTCAAAAAAAATAATTGAAACGAGAGAGAGAGAGAAAATAACAAATGCAGACAGACTGAAAGCGGATTCCAAAACCTGACCGCCCCCCCCCCCCCCCCCCACCACCACCACCCCCCACCCTCCTTCCTCCCTGATCTCCTTTTATCCACAAGAATAAATAAAAACAAGTCAACGCTTCTGTTTGCCCCCACACCCCACACCCCCCACCCCACTCCATCTCCAATCCCCAAAAATAAAACCCTCAAAACAAAACCATCGGAAGCCATGAAAACTAAATTAAAATCAAACACACACCCCCTCCCTCCCTCCCTCCCCCCAACACACACAGATGCTTTGATTATCACAAAAGTTACACCCTTCAAAACAATATATATATAGATATAGATATACATATTAAAATAAAGCATTGCATATATATGTGTGTGTGTGTGTGTTGGGGATGGGGTTGGGTTGGGGTTGAGAGGGGGGGAAGGAAAACCCCAACAAAACAAACAACGCGGAAACTTTTCTCAACGGGGAATAAGACAAGTTCCCTCGACCCGAAAAAGCGCCGCCGCCGCCGCCGCTCCTCTCCTCTCCTCTCCCCTCTCCCCCTCCTCCAACACACAAACCTGCAGGGCCTAGTCCAGGCTGCGGACCGTCTTCACCGAATATCAGTGTAAAGTCAAATTCGTCATTGCCGTAGTTTACAGCACTCATCGGGTGACCAGTTTCCCTTCCCCCTTTTCCGCTACTTTCTGACTAAGTTCATAACCGAAACGGCCCGAAAAGTGTCCGCCAACTTTTTTTTTCTTCTTCTTCTTCGCGGCCGCCGCCGCCGCTGTCGTCGTCGTGTTGTTATTGGTTGTTGTTGTTGTGGCGGTGGTGGCGGCGGCTGTGGCTGTCGGGTGTCAAACCGTCGCTGTGTTTTTTGATACCCCTTAACTAACCCAACCCCCTCCTCCTCCTCCTCTTCTTCTTCTTCTTCTTCTCCCCGTCCTCTCGCTTCTCTCAAACTTTGCGAAGTGACATCCTACAGCGAGCGCTGCCCTCTCTCCCTCTCCTCTCTCTCACTGACTGACTCTGACTGACTGACTAGCGCCACCGCCGCTCTCCGCGCCGCTCCTCTCCGCGCATGCGCTGCTTCCCCGTCATCTTCTCTCCTCTTCCCCCCCCCACACCACCAACGGCTTTTGAGTCGCGCGCACGTCTCCTCCCTCCCTCGGTCTCCCTACGTCATCCTCTCCAGGGCAACCGACCCCCTCCAAACGCGCAGGCGCGGGTCTCTCCCCTCTCTCTCTCTCTCACCCACGCACCCGCCCAGTGCAGTGCTTTCTGGGAGTTGTAGTTTACTGGCGGCTGCAGGACCTCACATAAGTCGTATCAGTTGGGACCAGACATTTAATTGGACTCCTGCAGAGTACGAGTTAATAATCCTTGCATTTTGATATAGCGCTTTTCACGTCGGGAGGACGTCCCAAAGCGCTTCACAGAACACACTGTAAAGTGAATTGACTGTATATATTTGTGGGCGAACGCGGCAGCCGATTGCGCACAGCAATGTCCCACAAACGGTCGTGGATTGAAAATGACCAATTTAATTATTGTTTTTGGTTTTGGAGGGATTATTATTAGGCTCTGTGTGGAGTAAGGAAACTTGCCCAAGGTTTCGCCCTCTGCCTGGAATTGAACTCAGGTCTCTCACTTGCAAAGCGAGTGCTCTAACCACTGAGCTACAGGACTCCACAAGTTGTGTCAAACTTGCAGAGAAGTCTCAACTCGAACAGGACGTAGGCAGATTTATGGCGTGGCTGATTGCACGATTTGGTCTGGTCAGACGTTATACGAGTATTGACGTACTGCGAGGGTCCGGGAAATTATCTTCGCATTTGACGCCTTGAATGTCTCAAAAAAACACAGGATTTCACGCGGAAGCCAATTTGCGCCCAGTAACGTCCCACAAACAGCTACGCGGGGACATGACCAGTTTTATTTTGGGGGCATTGTTGGCCAGGACATTGAGATAAATTCCATTAATAGACAAGCAGGATTTTCAGTACCTCCCCCCACCCCCAGCATAGATCCCCCACTGGAACAACAGCGCCTTGTGATGTCCTCCCGCAATGAAAGGTCCTATATAAATGTAATTTGTTGTTGCTGTTGTTGTATGTACTAAATTCCCTACTCTTGCCCATACCCTTTTGGATTGTGTCTCCTCACACACTAATGCAATCCCCTTTTAAATGTTATTTCTGGTCATCTTGGCTCCCAAATGTCTTCAGATTAGTGTTTCTCAAAGTTTTATTCAAATCTCTTACAGATCATGTCCTTGGTCTCATAAAAAACAAAATATGCGATATCTTGCTACAAATATCTACAGAGGGTTTTTGGAAACGCACTACAAAAGCAATGAGCTCAGGTGTACTTGATGTTTCAGAGCTCCAACTCATCGGGGTTCTGAAACAAGAACAGAGGGAGCTGGGAAAACTCAGCAGGTCAGGCAGCATCTATGGAGAAAGGAAAGTGAGTCAACGTTTCGGGTCCACGACCCTTCGTCCATGACCCGAAACGTTGACTCACTTTCCTTTCTCCATAGATGCTGCCTAACCTGCTGAGTTTTCCCAGCTCTCTCTGTTTTTGTTTCAGATTCCAGAATCTGCAGTATTTTGTGTTTTGTTCATCGGGGTTCTGGTTGCTTGAGCAACACAAGAAAGCTGAGTAAAAAAAGGAAGTGAAGCAACAAGGCAGGATAAGCAACAATATGACAAACAAAGCAGAAAATTACTGCAGTATCTTGGTTTAGGCAGAACTGTGCTTTTATGTTTAGTACGCGGCGAATGAAGGAAGACAAACAATAATAATGATCCTTATATTTTATATAATGCCTCTTACACCAGGACACTTCACAGGACCTAACATATTATTTTTCAAACATTGTTCTTCTTCAATAATCCTGAGAACGGCACTTAACACATCAGTACAGTATTTCCCCCAAACCAATTTTCCTAAACTATCGGAGAGAGGAGACTTTCAAGCTTCCTGTGTGAACTGAATTTTAATGCAAGTAGTACAGGTGAATCAACAATGTTGTCATTCACTGCAATGCTATCCTTTCATTAAACCAGTGCCCTACAGTTGGACATAAAGACACATTCGCTTACTATGTGACAGAGACTGTACGATTACTGTCAAGCTGCTTACAACAAATATTCTATTCCACACTTCATGGTTGGTGAAATCATCCACAGGATGTTGGTCACAGATTCGCCTCATAGCCAAATGGAAATGGGCCTTTATCAACTAGAGAAATAAAGGAATGAGCTCATAGAATTCTAGCAATCAATGTAAAAGAGCATCTAAAATGAAGGTGTATTACAGAAAATTTTTCACACTAACTGAACAAACAGAGAACTGTAGTGCACTGGATCTGAAATAATCGTGAATACTATTAATGGGAGCTGGAGGAGGAAAGTTAATTGACTTTGTCTTTCATCCCCCGCCCAATCTCTCACCTTCACTTGGTCCATTTTCAATTCCTCCTTTCCCTTTCTAAATGTTTCCCTTGCAGGTAATGAGCTTTCTATCAATATCTATTGGAAACCCAATGCTTACCACAGCACCTTGGAGTATCCTTTTTTACTCTTCTGATAAATGATATATGGATTGTTTCAAAACATTCAGTAAGAAATATCATGTAAATTTTCATAAATTCATCTATGATAGGCCTATCAACATAAGATCAAAGTCCCAAATATGGCGTCTGAACAGACAACTTCTGACTCAGACATGAGAGTGCTATCTATTGAACCAGGCTGGCACTTTGCACCGTATAGTAATGTTAACAGCAAATCCGATGAGTGTGTTGAAATGGTTGACTGATGTGATAAGGCATCATATCATGTGGAGTCCTGTAGCTCAGTGGTTAGAGCACTCGCTTTGCAAGCGAGACACCTGGGTTCAATTCCAGGCAGAGCGAAACCTTGGGCAAGTTTCCTTACTCCACACCCCTAATAATAATCCCTCCAAAACAAAACAATAATAAATTGGTCATTTTCAATCCACGACTGTTTGTGAGACATTGCTGTGCGCAATTGGCTGCCGCATTTCGCCCACAAATATACGGTCAATTCACTTTACAGTCTATTCTGTGAAGCGCTTTGAGACGTCGAGAAGACGTGAAAAGCGCTGTATCAAATGCAAGGGTTATTATTATTATATTATATCAATTACAACAACTGTTACTATTACGTACGCCTACATAGTGTCTATTAATCGTTGGTACCATTCTGTAATCTTAACTCTTTTTGCATAATATTTGGAGAAAGAGTTTCACTCACCATGAAGGCTTCCCCAAACAATCAATCAACTAGAAAGAATTAGTATCAACTTTGTAATTCCCTTTGCTAAATAAGTTGATTGATTAGTAAGTGCTGATGACATTGTTGGAGAAATTGCTGATCTCTGAATAAAACAAAATGTTGGAAATGCACAGCTGATCCGTTAGCATCTGAAAGAGAAAAAAACGGTAATATTTTGGCGAGGACCTTTCATCAGTACGCTGAAGCACCATTGTATGAGGGAAGTACATTAACAGATGCACAACTGCACCCAAGATTAATTAGTGATGGTATCAATTCAGTTTGCTTATGTTGTTGGGATCAGCGAATCCTCTAAGCAATCACTCCCAATAATGTCGCCGGGGACTTGCTGTTTAAATAGTGACATTCAAAAAGACATCAATAGAAATAGAGATAAAAATCACACAGGTGTTCACATTGGTTAGAGTTTGGTTTTAACCCTTAAAGCAATGTGAGCAGATGTTGTTTCTCACTGTATGTACGGAAAACATCTTAATATCTCTGCTGGAGACACTTGTGAATACAGTAACGTGATTACATTTTGTGTGCAGTGTTAAGGAAACCAATCAATTTAGGAACAGTTTCTATTTGACTCAGGGCTTTGTAAATGTTAAATGTTTTATGTGAATTATGATTTCATTAGAACATCCACTCTCTTGAGCTTCTAACTCTTTCAATTCACATTTGCAGCACAATTCCCAAAAGGAGTAAGTAATTTATAACATAACATTATTTTTTGACTATAACTTCCTATTTAAATGCTGCACAGATCCTAGATTCCAAGGCAACACTACCTTTGTTCCTTTTCTTTAGGGGCAAACTTTTTTCCTGTGGCATGGCTTTAATGGCTGGTGTCTCCTATGCCAGTGTCTTTGTGAATGTTTAATAATAAAAATAATTTTTGTTATAGTTTAAAGTGATGTGCCGTGTGTACTTTTTTGGTGAATCCAGCAGCTAATTTGAACATAGCAATGTCCCACAAACAGCCATCACTATGATAATTTCCCTTCGGTTTTTGAATAGTGCCATAGGATGATGCAGACAAGGACCTTGGTTTAACGTCTCTTCCAAAGGACAGCACCTCCGACAATAAGGCACACCACCAGCGCCCTGTTGGAATGTCAGCTTAGACTATAATTGGTTCCAAGTCCCACATGGGGTTTGAACCCAGAACCTTCTGACTCAGAGATGAGAATGCTATCAACTGAGCTCCGGCTATTTTACCTTAGAATCGTGATTCCCTTAAATGGTTGGAGAGGAAGCATTGAGACTGTTGGATACAAACTAAGGCACAAATGTGGAAAATTCTGAAATCATTAGCAATACCACAGAGAAAGACCAACGAAAGCTACAAATCAGGAGGGGAACTTGGAGAAGCAGATGAATGGTTAGCACTTTATATTTTATGAAAAGCTTAATACAAAGTAATGATTGAAAGGAACAATAAAAGAAATAAACAGGAAACAGCTGTAATAGTCAATTACTAATGCTCTTC